GATCCGATCGTCAATGAAGTTAATGAGGCCTGTGACCTTTTCAATGTCCAAAAGGCAAAAATAAATCAATGACATAAAGACAAAATATCGTTGTATTTGCTAACTGGATTTTGATTAAATAAAATCCAGTAAAGTTTAAACATCTTTTAAGTTTTTACATTTACATTTAGTCATTTAGCAGATGCTTTTATCCAACGCGACTTACAAATGAGGACAATGGAAGCAATCAAAATCAACAAAAAAGCAATGATACGCAAGTGCTATAACAAGTCTCAGCTTAACGCAGTACACATAGCAAGGGTTTTTTCTTTTTTTTTAAGAATAGAATTAGAATAGAGATTGCTAGCGTTAAAGGGTCAAGTAAAGATGGAAGAGACGTGTTTTTAGTCATTTCTTGAAGATAGCTAAGGACTCAGCAGCTTGGATTGAGTTGGGCAGGTCATTCCACCAGGAGGGAACAGTTAATGTAAAAATCTGTGAAAGTGATTTTGTGCCTCTTTGGGATGCACAATAAAGCGATGTTCACTTGCAGAACGCAAGCTTCTAGAGGCACATAACTCTGAAGTAATGAATTTAGGTAAAGGGGTGCAGAGCCAGTGGTGGTTTTGTAGGCAAACATTAATGCCTTGAATTTTATGCGAGTTTTTAATCTATATATTTAAATAACATTTCACCCATATGTGCTTTCATTTTGACTTCTGTAAATATTAATCAGTTTAATAATAATCTAATAAATCTCCCACAGACAAAACCACCAGACCACCAAACATCATTAAACGCCACAAAATCTGAACATTTAACTCTCAAAATCACAAAAGAATACTGAACGATTGATTGCCAAACATTCGGAGTGCAATACATTTACAAGATGGAATCGCACACAAATACATTTTTTTATAAAAGATATATAAAAGATAAATAGGCATATTTTATAAAAGATAAGTAGGAATATCACCTGAGTTTTCAGTCTCATGTCAAACTCAGACTCAAACTATGACCAATCATAACCCCGAATCCGCCATCTTGCCCGACAAACAAATCAGGCAGGAGAGGAGATTAACTTCGGTGGACTCAGGCTGATGATACACAGGAACATTCATTTAGAATGGGTAACAAATTTATATCTGGATATTTTAGATCAGTCATGGGCCCTGTGTCTGGTTGCCCTCAACATTTTCCAAAGTTGCCCGACAACATTGCTCAAAAGGTTGCCCCATGCATCATCAGCCTCAAACTTCAAAAATGTTGTGTATTGATGTCTTTCTGTGGTTTCATGCTTTAAATAAACATGAAAAGATGATCGGTTCACATGCCGCTTGAACTGAGGCTCTACAGCGATCTTTCACGACACAGAGCCACAAAACGGTATTTATTGTTAGAATTTCTTAAAAAATAACAAAATTTGAAAGCTGAGACTTTGTTTCATACCAGAAGTAACCTGCTCTGTCTTGTCTGTCGCCGTGTCAGTGTCCTCTTTGCTCCGTGATCTATTTTTTACTGTGTGAGAACATGATGTGTAGTGTGAGAGCGGCATGGCTTGTCGGACACATAGATATGTATATCTACCGTCAGACATAGCAACAGTAACTAAGGAGGGCGGGTTTTTGCGAAGGGTCAATTGAGGAGGGAAAATTACTGTAATTATTAGTTTTCTGTTTCAGGTATGATTCTGGATGTCTACATGTTCATCATGTTACACTGTTATGACACTTAAAAACTTGTGCTGTGCTGTGAATCAGTCTGTTTTAAATTAAAGACGGAAAACAGACGTTTTCTCATGCTGAGAGATAAGCAGATGTATGTGTGTGAGAAAATATCATATATGTGAGAAATGTTTAAGGTGTCTGAATAAATGTTGGTTTGACTGTATAAATAACTACAGGAAGTGACTGGTTGCTGTTATTACTTGAAAAGTTTATTTATTTTTTTTACATAGGAACACTGGCTGTTATTTGGGCTGAAACAGCTAATTGATACAATTAATAATAACTGAAAATGAAAATAATCAACAAAAAAGTTCAACATCGATTAATCAGGGCTTCAAGTTGTACACGGAAAACAGCAGAGAATAATGCATTTCTGTGAACAAAACGCCCCGGAAATGTACACATTTATACACAAACAGCTTTCAGACAGCATTTATTTTTTCAGCTCATCTGTCACAGAATCGAATGCAGTGGACAGTGGGATATCATCTTCAATAAATGACACCTGCATCAGTGCTTTAGAATGAGTTATAGTTGATCATGAATGTTTTAATAAACACTGCTGAGGACTTTGATGCTGTCACTGATCAGTCTAACAGTTTAATTAAGTTTAAAATTGTAACATGATGCCAAATTCAGTGACCTGCAGTAACAGCAAAGTCTGTTGAACCGACTTGATATCAAAGTGTGGGGATGGTGAGCTTATATAATGAGCTGTCGTGATTGTTTACTGGTGCAGACAGTATTCAGAGGAGCAGGTGAAGGGTGACGAGTGGCCAGGACGCACGTGAAAGAGACTGAAGGAGGCAGATACATCATGAAGCAAAGCAGAGGAGGATCTTGCAGCTGGACGATGTCGATGACGATGGTACACTCAGGCTTCAGGCAATACATATTTAAAAGCACACGTCCAGTTTTGTGCGAGTGAAGGAAATCCGTTTGCGAGTGGAGAGATTCGGGGATCGCATAACGTTATGCGCTCTCAACATTTGTCAATACGATCACAGCCTAAAATTAAGTATAAAGAAGAGAAAAAAAGCGTCCCTAGGCAGCTGCCTACACATGTGAGGATCCGCCACTGCCAGATGCAGTTAAACTTTTACTAAAAACAAGCCTATCACAAGATATCTGGTGGAGGGGGGCAACCAGACTTCAAGGGGGGCCAGTGCCACACCTGCCCACGACGTAGACACGCCCCTGGTGCTCTGAGAGTGTTTATAGTGCTGTGAGTTTAACACTTCATGACTGAGAGCAGAACACAACACAATCTTCATCATCACACAAGACACAACAACAACAATGAACAACATCATCATCCTCATCTGGACTCTCTCACTGTTTGCTCAAGGTTTGTGTAGTAACATTTTAACAAAGATTATTCATACTTTGAAGTGTAAAATATTAAACATTTACAGTTTTTCATTCATTTTCTTTTTTTTCAGAGTGTAGAGGACAGTACACTGTAACTCAGAGTCCATCATTAATAACAGCAGCTCAAGGACAAGAAGTCAGAATAAACTGTAAAACCAGCAGTAGTGTATGTAATAGTAATTACTTGCACTGGTACTTGCAGAAGCCTGGAGAAGCTCCTAAACTCCTCATATATGCTGCAACAAACCGTTACACTGGAACTCCATCTAGATTCAGTGGCAGTGGATCTGACACTGATTTCACTCTCACCATCAGTGGAGTCCAGACTGAAGATACAGGAGATTATTACTGTCAGAGTGCACACTGTTCTGGTAGTGCTGTGTTCACACAGTGATAAAGAGTCGTACAAAAACCTCGGTCAGTCAGAGTCACAGTGACTGCACTGATACAGCTGAGAGACACTGCAGCTGCTGATGAGACGATCACAAACAACACAATGACTTCAAGCAACACATTTTCCAGAGATTATGGCATACGGTCATTAAAATGAACTGTATTTATTTATTTACCTACATGAACATTTGAATATCAGATTCATCTGCTCTAGTCTGATCTGCATGAGGACTAAATGTCTGGAACAATGTGCTCTGGACAGAAAAGTCAAAGGTTGAGCAGTTTGCTGAAACGTAAATGGAAATTTCAACAGGATAATGACATTAATCATGCAAGAGGAATGATTGAGAAGAATTAAATGGAGGGCTTTAATGACCGAGTCAGAGTCCAGATCTCAGTCCAATTGAAATGTTGTTGAGGGACTTGAAGAACTTGAAGAGTTAAATCAAAATGTTCCCCCCAGAATCATCCCAAAACAGTTAAAGAATGAAAAAATAATGAGAACTAGACGTTTGTGTGCGTGCGTGTGTGTGTGTGTGTGTGTGTGTGTGTGTGTGTGTGTGTTTAATCACAGTGGTAACACTTTATAATAACTTTCATTAATAAATAATTAACAAACATTATATAATGTTTAGCTAATCATTACTTAATATATATCCACATACAGAAATATGAGTCAATGTGCTTGTTAATGTTAACTAATTAACTTATTAAACATTACCAAATGATTAAGAGATCATCATTTAATGCAAATTGAAATGCTTACAAATGTCATCAAACTTTCAATTCATTTGATCATGCATTTAAAAAATAAATAAATAAATTGCAATTTACAATATTTAAAAGCTTCATTAATATATAATTAACAAATATTATATAATGCTTAACGGATCATAAGTAAATGTTTACAAATGTTATGAAACTTTAAATGTGTTTTAAAAATCTATAAATGATTTTAACTGAAATTATACAACGATTACAAGATTATTTGTTAATGTACTTTTGAATGCTTACAAATGTCATTAAACTTCAGTTCATATATTAGCTAATGCTCATTTTTACATTTACAAATGTTGTGAAAATATAGCTTAATTAAACATTAAGCACTTCACAAATTATTCATGTTAATATATTCATTAACTCATAATCTCAGTCTGTAAAGGTCATATATTTGGTCTTGGTTTGTTGTGCAGACTTCCTATTTGCACATCTTAAATCATGTATTCATTATTTGTTAATGTTTTTGTAGTACCCAATCTAAAGTGGAAACTATTCATCATTTGTAAATGATTATAAACATTTACTAATCATTAGTACCTTTATGAGCAGTCATTTTGATGGCAAAAAGTGTCCTAGATGACCAGAATTCACCTTTTCACATCTTTACAAATCATGTATTAATCATTTGTTCAAAATTGTTGCAGTACCCAATCTAAAGTTGAGACTATTCATCATTTTTTTACATCTTTATTGGCACTGGACTTTATCTACTGTAATAACGTTTGTGTAAAGGGTGGTTAGCTTAATGCTTGGTAAAGACATAACACATATTGTAATTTGGGTGCAAAACATGTTTTTATCACCTCAACACTTACATTAGTATACTAT